GCTTGACTGGAACCACGCCGTTCTGGTGCAGTCCGCTCCTCTTCCCATCCGAGTAATTGTCGAAGCAACACACCTGCGGACCCGCGGTTGTCTAACTGTCGCCATCGTCGCTCTCTCAGTTTCCATCTCTAACACTTCTCAGGCCGCGTTCCATCTCCTTCTGCTATCGCCAGCGACACTTCATTCGAAGTTCTTACGCAAGCATGCGGTGCCGGGAGCCACCCTCACTGTTACCGCTGTGCCGTCGGTTCCCAGGCTGATCATCCTTCGCAAGTCTGCCCTATCTCTGCACCGCAGCCTTTCCACTCCGGTAGTTGAATCGACTTCGACGTCGCGCATGGGAGAACAAAAGCAATCATGGACGGGTTTGCGGGCTTCTATAGCCAGTCCTATCCGGGCGCGGATCCGAACGAGGCGTTGAATGGATATTCGCAGGATGCCACTATGGGTGGGATTGATCCCAGCGCCATGGACACCACGAGTCTGGGCCAGGCTCAGAGCCTGCACCAGATAATCAATCAAAACAATGAACAATTGATGCGCCGGAGGAGCAACTTCTCACCGCACTTCCGCCATGGTTCACACGATCACGGCCGCAGAGCGTCAATGCTCGAGTTTTCTTCGAACTTGGACAGCGACCTGGCCGATTTTCAATTTGATCCGAACCCGAATGAGCCGACATTGAACATGGAACCGGCCGATATGATGCCGATGCAAAAGTCGCTGGACCCACGCAAGGTCCGTTCAAGAGAAGACTTGTCGTTGAATACCCAATTTTCGCGAATGCATACAAGTTTCGATAATATGCAGGCCGTCAACAACTTCTCTCCTGTTGGTCTACCCAGCACTTCGGCCCCTATGGAGCAATCCGCCGCGTACATGCCCCCAGATTTGGATATGACAATGGATTTTGACCCTATGTTACGAGGCGCCAATGCTTCAGCGATGCAGGAGCCCTTGTTCACAGCCTCACCAATGGACCAGAGTTTTTCTATGTCGTATCAGGCGGTGAATCATGATCCGGGCGGCGGCTCCTCGATGAGTCCGCAAGTACAGAGCCGGATGGCAACCATGGCTCAAGGCATGTCCTCAATGCCTGATTCGTACTCGAACCGTTCGCAACACCTGCGCGGGCCGGCTCCTCTCAACACCTCAGTTTCTCTAGCAGGAGGGCCCTCGTCCGCAATGGCCTCTCCGGCACATATGCAGCACCCACCTAAGAGACGGTCATCTGTTGACCTGCATGCTCCCTATTCCGGTAAAGGTAGTAACAGTAAGCGCCGATACAACTTGTTGTCTTCCGACTGACATTATCGACCAGATGTTACTCCCGACCCGAGAGCGATGAACCCCCCGAGCCTCCCCCATATGCCGCCAGTTCAAGGTGGCCAGATGCCACCTCCAAAGTACGCCAATGCCTATTCCTCCAGTGGTTTCGATATGCTTGGTGTTCTCGTAAGTGGACTTCTGTACCGATGCCGTGACCATGCGTAATGTCTGGACAGATGCGAGTTGCGACAAGACCACGACCGGAAATCAATATTGGGCCAGTCGACTTGTCCTGCGCCTTCGTCGTCTGCGATATAGAGAAATTCGACCTACCTATTGTCTACTGTTCGGAGATGTTCGAACGACTGACTGGCTATAACAAACACGAGATCCTGGGCCGCAATTGCCGCTTTCTGCAAGCACCAGACGGTAAAGTGCAATCCGGAGTCAAACGGAAATATGTCGACGATAACTCAATTCTTTACCTGAAGAATCAGATCACCAAGCGCGCGGAAGCACAATTGAGTCTGATCAACTATCGAAAAGGAGGACAGCCATTCATGAACCTGTTGACCATGATCCCGATTCAATTTGACTCGGAGGACTACAAGTTCTATGTCGGTTTCCAGGTCGATCTGGTGGAGCAGCCAAGTTCAGTGTCCGGGAGGAATCCAGGTATGACTGTCTTTGAATTTGTGCAAGCCGGGTCAAGTTCAACTAACCCTCGTATCAGACGGAACGTATGAAATCAACTACAATCGAAGCTCACTCCCCGCCTACCAGCTTCCTGCTCCGCATGACTCCAACCAGGTGCAGGAAATAGGTGAAACAATATCTCGGGACGAGGTCTCCAAGGTACTGGCCACTATAGGACGTGGTGACTCGGACGCTTCCAAACGGATATGGGACAAGATGTTACTGGAGAACACTGACGACGTCGTGCACGTCCTCTCAATCAAAGGGCTGTTCCTCTACCTATCACCCGCCAGCCGGAGAGTCCTGGAATATGACCCGAGTGAACTTATTGGCGTGGGCTTGTCGTCAATATGCCATCCCAGCGACATCGTACCCGTCACCCGAGAACTGAAAGACTCCTCCAGTGGAGCTCCCGTCAGCATCGTGTACCGGATTCGTAGGAAATTTAGTGGCTTCACCTGGTTTGAGGCTCATGGTGCCCTGCATGTTGAGCAAGGGAAGGGTAAGAAATGCATTATCCTTGTCGGCCGGGAGAGACCGGTATACGCTCTGGATCGCACCGACCTCAAAACTGACAGTAACCCGGGTGAGAGTGAGCTATGGTCCAAGATTTCTACGTCAGGGATGTTTCTGCATGTGTCATCCACCTCTCGTGTCATGTTGGACCGTCTCCCCGAAGATCTGGTTGGTACGAGCATGCAGTCATTGATGAGACCGGACTCCAAGAAGGAGTTTTTGCGCATGCTCGAGACTGCAAGAACTGGAGAGAAGGTGTCTTTCAGGCACGATCTTCAGAATCGACGTGGTCAAGTCCTTCACGCGCAGACTACGATCTATCCCGGTGATGCCCGGCCGGGGTTCAAGCCGACTTTTCTGCTGTCGCAAACCCGGCTGCTTAAAATGACGCGTGCCACGCTCTTGAATCAGAAGTCGATATCGGGAGCATCGGTGGGTTCGGGGACTCCGGCGACACATGGGTCCGGGCAATCATCCGGTAACATGCCGAATGGATCTACGCGCTCTCTTGCTTCCAAGGGCAATACGACGGATCATAACGGGACGTTCACTCAAGCAGGAAGTCATGCGCTCAGCTTGGGCAACCAGGATGAAGCCCTCGCATCCGAGGACAATATTTTCGACGAGTTGAAGACGACTCGGAGCTCCAGTTGGCAGTTCGAACTCCGGCAGATGGAACGTCAGAATCGGATCTTGGCTGAGGAGTTGCAGGCTCTGCTAAGTCGGAAGAAAAAGCGTAAGAGGAGGAAAGGTCTCGGCCAGATGGAAAAGGATTGTGCCAATTGCCACACTAGAGTTACACCGGAATGGAGGAGAGGTCCGAGTGGAAATCGTGATCTGTGCAACAGCTGTGGCCTGCGGTGGGCCAAACAGGTGAGGTCCCCGTGTTTCTCTGGTTGTGGTGTTTTCGCGAGTATCAATTGCAACTAATCAACGCTTGATGCAGAACGGACGAGTGTCGCCTCGCAAACCCTCCAGCCAACAAAGTGACAGAGGCTCAACGTCTCCCGCACATAGCACGTCGGCCAACCAGGCGGAGGCCAAAAAGGGCGAATCATCCGAGACAACTGGCACAGGCACTAACCAACCGCCAGGAAATCCCTCGGGGACCACTGACGGCGGAGGAAACGACAAGGAGATTTGGAGAGGGCAACTGCCGCCTAAAATTGACGAAGTTGAGGAACCCCCTCATCCCAGCATATTGCCAACATGAAGGTTGGCTCCAAGCAATCCCAGGTCAAATTCTATCAAGCACAGCTCCGCTGGATATCTCAAACCCGGTCAAGGAGGACACGACGGGACATATGACTGGAATATCGTCCATGAAATCTATCCATGGATTTGCCAAGCCCAAGCCCAAGCCAATCCATTACTAGTCGACATCTGGATTCATTCGCTCTCCTGAGACATGCCCGTGGGGAGCACGCTGCTTCTGCCACTGGGTTTCATTCCTTCCAGTGATCTCGACCTGCCCAACAATTTTCATAGGCTTTGGAAGCCGCGACAAGAACGATGGGGATGTCCAATGATTCGAACCAGTGTGCTCGACAGCGTCACGGACATTTGGGAGATCCCGCTACCGGAGAGACAAAGGTGCGGAATGAAGCAAAAGCTGATGTGACGCGGGTGGACACTCAACAAATGGCACCGGCGCGCAATACCGATCGATTGTTTCTTTCCGATCATCTGACACGATCACGCCCCCGTGCGAAACAGAGGGTGCAGGTCACGACTCCAGCCGGGTCACACCAACAACAATCAGATGTCCCGAGGAAAGGGAGAACGCGATCTGAGGGTTCGATATTTGTTGCCCCAGGGCCTCAGACGGGCGATCCACTTTCCATGCGTCTCACTGACGACAACCAAAGATGTTGTGCTTCTGGGCCCCGTCATATAGGTCCCGGACAGAAAGCTGGCTGCACAGTCTCACGGCGCGACGACGACGCAATGAGAACCATATTCATGGAGAAATGCGGGAAAGGGCCTACTTTGATCAGATTCTACACGAGATTTCACATTTGAGGTGACAATTTTCATGCGGTCTATATACATTAGAGGCAGGCGTTTGGGCAGGGAGAGATGCACTCTGTATGCAGAGTGATGGCGAGACGATCAACATACAATGAAATGGCCCGGGGGTTTGATGTGTGGGGTCTATGTCGATGAATCTACTCCGTACGATTTTCTTATAATCACACAAAGCTTGTAAGTTTACAACCTTGGGACGGAGCGAGTTGAAAGCTCCTTATATCGTGTTCATTTCCAAAAGTACGACCATCGTGACCTCCGCCAATGCGCGCGGTATGGGAGGTTATCTACATCAATCAACCTATTCGTATATCCTCATTCACCCCTTACCCAACACGCACGTTCGCTCATGGCGCTATGTTGCTGGCTCCTTGGACCGCATGGACACAAAAACCATGTGAAAAACGCGCGTCGGGCCCATGTAGGGGTATGATATCTACACACGGACATGTACGCCACGTGCGCGCGCACGCCGCTGTTCGTTCTTGTCTTCAGATCCATCGTCCCCGCCTCTGGTCTCGCGCGAGATCCCGCGGGGGAGGATCAAAATTCAGTTGTAAGTCGTGCATTCGAAACTCCTGCCCAGGCTGACGGGAGTGAGCTTCTGATGGTGATGATGTTGATGAGGGCACCAATCTAGATGCTGAAGTCGTGTGCTCCGCGCTTTCGATAGGGACGGGCGCGCGAGAAGTGGAGGCAGAGGAGGTTGTTGGGTCGAGCACCCAGAAGGAATCGCGTCTCAAGAGTTGCACTTGCTCGCCGGCTGCTTGGGTGACGATGGAACTGACCCGGTTGGACTCTGGCGGGGGGATTGCGCTTAGCGTCAAGGCTGTGGTTGTGCGAGGAGGGCCGGCACCGGCACCGATGCCGTTGAGCGTGCCGTCGTGGTGGTGGTGGGCTTGTGCATGTGTCTCTGTGCTGTCGGCTGCTGCAGATGCCGCGGTATATCTGAACAGCAAGGGGAGGGTTGATTCTTTCCAGACAGCCATGTGCTGTTGATGCGTGGAGAGGATGGTGAGCAATAGCCCTGCGAGGCCCAAGACGGTGAGCGCCAGCGGGTAGGTGATCCACTCCCAGCGGACAAGGACCACGGCCTCACTTTGCAGTGTGGTGCCAATGGCGACGCTGTCCTGGAGTTGTTGAAACCGGCCCGTCAGTGCACGTCCGACTCCGTCTACCACGTCGCTGAAGTCGCCGTTCCCGTCGATTGCTTGTTGGCCCGCGGAGCTCCAGGGTCCGCCATACGCCTGTGAAAAGCCGGTGGAGTCGAAGTCCAATGCTCCCCCGTCAGAAGGGTTGGGGTACCAGTACCCCGAGTGGCTGTACGTGGTGTTTCCCTCGAGGGCGATGCGCAGAGCCTGGATGAGCAAAAAGGCTCGCCCTTGGGAGTCGTCGTTCCCAGCGTCGTAGATGGAGTAGTTTGTTCCATTGATGGTGACGTTCCAGCCTGTCAGAACCCGGCCATCGGGTTGGCCTTCGCCTATAAGTATGGTGCCGTAATTTGTGGATGTCGCATTCGAGACTAACGCTCCGTTCCTGACGGCAGTGTCCATTGTCCGAACACAAGGAGTGAAGGCGCATTCTGTTGCCTTCTGGACCACGACTTGGCCAAAGTCTGCGGTTAGGTTCAAGTCCAGGTAACCCATGGCAAACAGTGGAGAGTCGATACCTCCATAGGACTTGTTGTCCCAACTATAACCCCAGTGGCTGTCAGGTGTCGGGTCAATGTTCAGTGGCCACACCACGCGACGAGGGTAGTTAACGGACCATTGGACACTACTTCCCAGTGCGAGGTCCAGCGAGATAGAGATGTCGACGGGATTGCCATTGGGGAAAGAATACTTGGGCGTCCAGCTGCTGGTGGAGGAAGTGTCGTTGCTTTGAGAAAACTTCTCGAGGTGCGAGGTGAGGTTGATACTGTACGGGTCTCCGCTCAGGTTGACTTTGGCTGTCATGTCCTGGCAGAGCGTACACATAGCAAGGGTGTTGTATGCCGGCCATGTGCAATTTCCACTAGAGCAGAATGGAGGCGGTACTGCGCCTGCGGCACCGCCAAAGGCGCCGATCAAGGCATTAAGAGACAGTCCCGAGCCTCCCAGGTTTCCAATCACCGGTTCGTTGTATGAAGTTGGGGTACGGATCGAAGCTGGGTCGGAAGCAATGGGGGTCTCCCGGACAACAGTGTTCAATACCTGTTGCAGGAACGGCTCGAAGCCGAGAGCAAGGACGGTGACCAAAGCAGCTAACAGAGCTCGAATACTTCCTCGACGACTCAAAATGAGCATAGCTGAGCCGTAAGGACCACGACTGGCCTCCTCAAACGCGTCGACCGTGGCGAGGGGTCGTGGCTTGTCTATGAACCAGAGCCACTTCTCCTGGCGAAGTGCAGCAGCAACGACAACCAAGAGTGCAGCTTTGGCAAAGCTTGCAAGGAGTGAGATGATTGCGTTGATCTGTGAATCCAATGTCAGAACGACACCAAGCGAATCGAGGGCGTTGCAGAGAGCACTCACATTCAAGCCATCTGGCAGGTCTGGTACCCGACGATTGTCATACGCAAACAAAATGCCTGCGATTGCAGCAAGTATGCATACGCATAGCAAGGCTGCTGACATTTCCCACACCCAATTATCCAAGCTCATACGAGTCCACCATGATGGTCGCTTTTGGAAGATCTTTAAAGAGCTTGACTGACCTACATTACCGGTGTGAGTGCTGGATTGACTGCTGAAAGATCGATCCATCTTCACAAAGTTGCGCCAGTCATTGGGTTTCTCAGTGCTTGTTCCACCAGGTCCATTCGCTGCCGGACGCCATAGACGTCGGTATATATTAGAATACATCGCTCCAGGCTTCGCAGGTGGAAGTATCTCAGGCGTCCAGAGAGGAGCTTAATATGCAAAAGACGTGGCGATCAAGGCCGTCAGCCACAGGATGGCGAGATGGAATACGAAGCATAGAACAAGATGGGGCGGAATTGGGTCGGCAACTGCGCTTGGAAGCGACGAAAGCAGCTCATTGCGCATAGCAACATATCGAACACTCGACGACTTACCATGATGCCGTTTCCATTGTCTGTTTCATGTGTCGCAGAACCACAAAGAAATGAAGACAGTGGATGGAATTGCTAAGCGCTGGCTGCCATCGAGTCTGGGGAAGGCTATATTTGGGCGAGACCGTTGGAGTGGTAGGAGATGATAAGGCCTGGCCCGCGTGGGCCGCTTGGAGGCCTCATCGCCATGATTGTATTTCAGGCTTAGCTAATGCAAGGCTGGAGGCTGAGCAGTCCGAGTCATGGCTTTGGCGAGGCACACAAGTCCGAGAACTCGCCACGGAGGCATTATCGCTGGCAAAGTAGCGCCTGCCATGACGACGGACAAGTTGCAGGCAGCGTGTACTCGTAGAGAGTAGGTCGGGAAGGGTCGCCAAGCGGGTTCATCAATTTTGGGGCGCTCCGTACTATCACCCGCCGTGTGTTTTCTCCTGACGACTCGCCCCCTGCTCTTCAGTATCTCGATGTCTTCTCTCGCCCGGTTCTGCCGGAGCTCATCGTCGGCAAGGGGAGTACGTAAATGATAAGACGTCAATGCAGGAGGGACCTCGTACAGGGAGGAGGATGGACGCGGTCCATGCAAGTTCATGGGCAAAGAGGTAGGCCGCGAATGAATGGTCGAGTTGTCAATCATTTCTGCAGAAGCGCAGGAGACACGCAGGAGGGTGCGGAGGGGTCTGCAGTCACTGTACGTAAAGAACTGAGGGGCAGAGCAGTTGCGTCAACGGCACATGTGCGTGAACGAGGCGGACGATGAACAAAGGACGATGGACGAGGGACGGTGGGAATTATCCACTGAGAGTATCCAGACATGCAGCCCCGAGCTGATCCCTCTGATCCCTCACATGGCGGCCAGGGCACAAATCACTCGGCCGGCAGGTTGCGCCTTGTGAAGAACGATCGACACTGCTGTTGATGCCCAACTGGCCGCCCTCTCACACTCGCCTCAAAGTCACTTCACTTGGCCAACACCGACCAGCCCGACGCGGCTATCGTCACTTTGGCCCGTTATCTAAGGGCCGTTAGCAACTCGGCTACCGCCCAGTCGGTGTTTCACTCTGGCCATGATGGCATCCTGGGTCGATCAACTGGTTCCTGTTGCCAGTTCCCCTGATTCTTCCTGCTTCCCCGAGAGCGTTTGTCTCTTTTGAACTGCTTCTTCCTCTTGCTCCGCGCAAGGCCGCCGCTCCCAGAAGACGGTGCCCCGGCTCTCGCTCGCGGTCCCATGTAACTCTACCATCTCGCTTGACCATCTCTGACCATCCTCTGACCATCCGTGTGGCTAATGCGTAATAGTTTCGCCTTGGTCAATCCTCTCCTCCCGACGTGGGACTCGCTGCCTGACCACCATCACTTTGCGACTAACTCGTAGCTCGTACCTGTGGAAGTCAATACCCAAACGTCAGTACGGAGGACCCTGTCCTGCTGTCCTAGTCTAGCGCACCCACTTGTCCCACCTCGACGGCAACCCGAAATGCAGGGTTTCTGGATGGGTTGATGTGCAAGCCACGGCACACCCCTGCCGCAGGCTCGCAGCCCAGCCTTCCGAACTGGACTCTCACAGTTCCTGCTTCAACTTTTTCCATCCATACATTTGTATGCTCACAGTTCCCCCCTCTCTATCACACATCCACGATCGCTTTGGCACTTCCGATATACGCATTCCATTATCAGAATCCCGCTCCATTACGACCTCGCCGACGACAATTGTCGCCCACGCCGTCCCTATCAACTTCCCAATCCATCCATTGCGACTACCTCCTGTGCGCAAAGCGAATTCGGCCTGGCTCTTTCCCTGCGGCGTCCTGGTCTCAACTTGAATAACATCCCACTTCACTCCCGACGTGCCAGCCTCGACTTTGAGGTTCTGGGCCGTGTTGTCTAGCGCTTGTTTATCCGGCGAACTCTCACCCGATCGAGGCCGAACTCCTTTACCAGACGAGCAAGAAAGACATCGGCGCAGATTGCAATTCGAACCGCGAAAACGAGAACCAGATCTCCCGTCCGTGCGCCGTCCCAGTGGCCTGGATCCTTCCTCCGTCATATATTCCAAGGTCGCCCGCACCTCGGGAACTGTGTCCTGCCAACAGGTCGCATCTTTCACCAGTTTGCCGAAGCTACAGCTTCACGGCAATTGGCAACGGAATAGCATACTTTGTGATCGGCCACTCGAGCGTGCGCCATGGCGGACAAGATCTCCATCACCATATGCGGCGACGGTGGTTGTGGTGCGTTGAATTGCTCGTTGAGAGTCATACACTGTCCTAACCTTGTTTCCCTGCAGGCAAGTCGTCCATCACACTGCGCCTGGTGAGGTCACAGTGGACTTCAGAGTACGTTACCGCCTCTCATGACCTCCAACGTCGGTCGCGTCCGTATACTGATGGGCTGGCAACAGATATGACCCTACGATCGAGGACTCATACTCCGTCACACGAACAGTCGACGGCTTGAACTACTACCTGTCCCTCACCGACACCGCCGGGCAAGAAGAATACCGCAGTTTATGGGCTGCCTCGAATCTGCAATCAGACGCCTTTCTCCTAGTTTACGACATCACCAATCTCGCTTCCCTCGAAGGCCTCGCCTGGTTCCTTGACATGATCGATATCGAAGCCGAGAACAGGGTGGAAGAGAACCAAAGACTGCTCCGGGAAAAGGGCTCCAAAGTCCGAGGGAAAAGAGAAGAAGGCTGGAAATTCCCTCCCATCAAGATCATTGCCGGCAACAAATGCGACCTGAAAGATGCCAGGGTCGTTAGCAGCAAAGTCGGCTGGGAATGGGCCAAGAGCAAAAACTGTGGCTTCATGGAGACCAGCGCTCGGGAAATGGTCAACATTGAGGAAACCTTTGCCCGTAAGAGGCGCTTGCTCCGGCATGTCTATGACCACGGCTAACGCTTTTTCACAGTAATTGTCCGCAGAGTCGTCGAGGCACGGAGGCAACACGGTGCTGGTGGTGGCTCATTACCTCACCAAGCGCCCTTTGCCTCGAAGGGCCACACACCGAATGTCAGCGGTGCCGGCGCCTCGGCTTATCAGATGCCCTCGTCGATGCAAGCAAATCGCCCACAGACGAGTCCCAACACCCTACCGGCCACGGAGAAGTCCGGTTTCGACGATGACAACAATCATGTTCCCTGGTGGAAGAAAGTCTTCTGCTGCCGCTGAGCATCCGGTCCTCGGCGGAAAGACCTGTAACATCTGTACAACATCGGCGGCTGTCTATTGTTTGTCCCCGTGACGATACTCCTAGGGGAATGCTTACTTGAGCATGGTATGAGAGCGCCTTCACACCCGAGACAGCAAGGCTGGACCACGACAAGATCGGGTCGAGCACCGATGGCCGTCGCCCCAGCACCACGCCCTTTCTGTTATGGTGACGTCCGGAAGACCGCCGGCGTCGTTTCGTCACCGCCTTCTTCCAATCACACCGTACGTGGATGGTGTGAAGATACCAAACTCTGGTCTCAACGACTCCATCAACCACAACCTTTTGTAGCATCGGCTCGGTTGCAGATGTCAGCAAGCAGCCGACCAAGCGAGCAGATCAGCTCGGTCTATTGACAGATTTAGCGAGTTTAGCGTACATTATTGTGTCCAAAATGATGTATAACTTCAGAGGGAGAGTATTAGTAGAGAGAACCGAGCCGCGAGGCCGAAAAGTGGGCGTTGGAAGAGAAGATGTCCATCAATGTACATTCCATCATGTTTCACTATGTAATGTACCTGTCGCGGCGATGGTCACAACTCTGCGATGGATGATGCCTGGAAGAAAGGCTGAGATGATCATGTACAGGTTAGTGTGGGAAATAATGTATTATTGACTCGACGAGACGGGAACTTCTCGACATTAGTTCACAGTCTTCATACATGACCGTGTGCTGTTAATCGTGACGGCCGATCTTCAGCAGCTCGGACGAGGAAATTCAAAGTCTAAAGTTCAGTTCAGTTCATGAGACAGCATCCAGGCCTCTAGGATGTAAACAAGTATAATGGGTCTCTGCTCCAAGTACCGCCTTCCTACGCTGTGATGCTTCTCGGGCAATAATAAACCTGTAGAGGGTACGGAGGAACCATCCACTCAATCTCTATGTATTAACCCATGTATAAACAATCAGAGGATGAATAAATAAACGATGTATGCTCTGCTCTCCCTTCCTCTCTCCCTTCCTCTCTCCCTTCCTCTCTCCCTTCCTCTCTCCCTTCCTCTCTCCCTCGCCCCCTTCTGTCTGTGAGTCACCACGACCTCTCAAGAGCATTAATTCCCCCCTCGCTCTGGAAGTAGGCGTGTATATCCCACTCAGAGAGTGAGTAATATTAAGCGCCACGAGTAAGTGGGTGAGTGAATGACGGACTTTCAACAAGGTAAGGAGGAATAGACGGACGTGACACCTAGACGGGACAGGGACATGCATGGAGAGATGAACAAATCGCAACTCTTCGCTCGCGCATGCCTCGTAGCCTCCAAAGCCCTCTCCGTCCGCGCGAATTGTGTTTGGATTGTGAGGGTGATGATGTCGGATATATCTGTTCTGACCTGTTCTGGTCCCGGTTTGATCTTTCTCTACGTGCATACACCGTACTGTACGTAGGCCATTTGTGCCTGTTCCGTCTGGTTCGGTCCCATTCAGTCTGGTCGAGTACTCGTATAATCGTCCGTGCCATCAGGTCCACTCGTCCGAATAATTGGCGTGGCGTGGTGGTGGCGTTCGTGACTCCGTGACGAGCAGAAAAGACGGGAGGGTTGTACTGTGGTGCTATGGCACCGCGACAAGCCGAACAGGACGGGAGGGTATACATACTATGTTGTCTTCAGAAGAGGGCGGCTCCGAGGCTCGTCTTCAGCGTAGACGCGCCAACCTTGTTCACGGGTGATTGTGTTGAGCTTTCGATGGGTTGAGTGGCCCCTGCGTTTCAGGCTGGCGCACGCTCCATTGGATGGGCTTTAAAAGAACGTGGAAAACCCCAATCGAAAGGTGTGTTGAACAATCATCCTGCCTTGTCGAACCGTACTGATTCGCAGGCCCAAGGAGAATGTGGACTTGGTCGTTCAGCGTCGGCCATGGAAGTGGAATTGGCGATTTCGTAAAGTATTCAACATCGACTTGGCTTGCTGCTTGCTGGGGTCCCGCGTCATTTCGATAACGCTCAGTAACTCGTACCGCATGTGATAGATGTCATCTCTGTGGTTGCTGGCTCGCTTGGTTGTAAACTGGTCCTCGCTCCATGCCACGTACACACGCGCACAAAGTACCTTGCTCGTCTCTCCTCCTTGTGCACATATCTTATATGGCGGCATCCCCGTCTGCGCATCTGCATATTCCATGACTTGTGCTCGTCTTCAACCCTCGGAATTACCGTGGTATGTATGCTGCCCGTTTTCACGTCCTTCTTGGTCTTGTCCCCTCCTGGGTGCGGTATCCAAATTGTTCGACCCCGAGTATCTCAGGAAGAGGCGGCTTCTGGGCCACACATCGGCTGCATTGCATCTGGAGGGTTGTTCTGATCTGTCCTGTCCTGTATCTCGGTCCTGACGGTGTGATTTGTAGGGTCGGGTCGCTGATTGTGATTGTGATTGAGATTTTGGATCTTGGCGTGCCGTGGTCGTGGCCGAGATCGAGATCCGCCGTTTGATGCGCCGGGTCCGCTTCGTCTTCTTCTTCTTGGCCTCTCCAGGCAGTAGTTACAGGGAGAATGCAAGGGTAGGGGGGTATTTGTGGGCTTTTAGAAACGGAAGGGACGGGTGATTACGGCCGCGGGCGCGGGATAAGGCTCGGGTTTGAACACAGCACAAGGGTCCGAACAAACGTGTATGCATGCATTCCAGACGTGATACTCCGGGTATACATTTGCTGTGCCCTCAGATTGTGTTTGCGGTCCGAACTTCCCCTGCGCTCTGGATGGGCCAGTCTTGCTCGGTGTTCGTCTTGGGGGAACAGGCATCGGAGCCAAATGGTCTGTGGGCAGTGTGTAGCGTGCGCCGGCAACGTGTTGTTGATCTTCGAATCCGTAAACGGGAGCATGGACGTCATGGGCGTTGCGCTTGACCGTCGCTGAGGTAGAGGTGGAGGAATATGCACAGGAAGACATCCTGTGTTCTTGACCGATGTGCCTGCGCACGACCGCCCCCTTCCGCAGCACCAGAGTGAATTTCTTGGACTGCATCATCGGGAGGCCGGACTTCTGGCTCATGTGAAAAATCCGCTGCAATTGGGCGATGTCGACGCCAATGTCTTGCTCGGCAATGTGCATGAGGATATCGCTGGCGTCGCTGCCCTCTGTGACGTCGCCGTTTTGACGGACCCGGACGAGGTTTTTGACGAGAAAGGCGGCGGTGCGCGCATCCCACAGGCCGTCGCGGGCGTGGCGAAGCTGAGGGTGCGAGAACAGGGCCGTGGCCTTTTCGAGGATCTGCCTGTTCGTGGTCTTGAGGCTGAGGAAGTAGATGGCCGCGATCAGGTGCGTCGAGAGCGTGTAGGTTCGAGCCGGGGTGGCCGACGTCGTCGTCTCTGGACCGGTCGCGGCAGAGTCCGGCAGCGGCCACGTCTGGGAGAGGAGAGCTTCGATGCTAGCCAGGGCGCTCTCGAGGTCGGTTTCCGTATCACCGCCTGATAGCACTATCTGCGGCAGAGGCCTCCCGCTATAGCCTGGCAGCAAGGCCATGACCTTCTTTGCCATGTCGGACGCATCGGCCGTAAGTAGGGGCAGGTTTTCCTTGACCAGGTAGGTGAAGGTGTGCAGATTGACGCGAAGGAGCAAGAGGCGTTGCGTCCGTTGCTGACGACGGTCCTCGCGCTGATTGTGCGTCGCTGTGTGCGAGATCGAGCTCCCGTGGTATGCGAACCGGTCCAGGACGGTTTCGAACTTCTGCAGCTGCGCCGCGAGCACGAGTCTCTCGACGAAGGACTCGGATGGCAGCTCTTCCACCCCGGCTCCCCGGTAATGGACACAGTTGACGAGATGGTGCAGCGCCCAGTTCTGGATCTTGGTGAGGACGGCTTCGGCGTGTGTCAGGTCGAGAAACGTGTCGGGGACGATGTCGAGGTGGCCTTTCGTTTCCGCATCGGTGGCGAGTCTCAACAATGGAGGGCGTCGGTCGTCGAAGCAACTGGCCTGAAGGTCCAGATGGTGCAGCAGCGTGCTTAGGTGTGGGATCAGGGGATCATCCGACGCGAGCGAATGGTCAAGCTGGCACTTCCTAAGCAAGATCAAGCCCTGGTCTAGATGCCAGATTGCCCGCTGGGATTCGCCGAGCAGGGACTCAAACGTGTAAAATATCAAGCTACAGACGAGCGCCACGTCCGGAGACGCATCGGGTCGCGCGAGGTAGTTCCTCAGCTGGCGGTGGCATCTGCTGATCACGGCCATGGTCTTCACGTTCGCGACCGGCGCGAGACTCGTGGACGGAGTCGGCGTCTCATACTCGGTCCCGGCCAGCTCCCCACACAGGTAGTCCTTGTGCAGCGAACTAAGCGCGACCAATGCATTGCGGATGACGGGCTGGTGGTTGGCACGCTGCAGGATTAGTTCTGTCCACAGGGTTGGATCTGTGCAGCTGGACAGATTCCAGGCTGCTTGACAGCAGAAGTAGTGGAGCAGCTGCCGGTCCGCCTGACTACCGGGGACCTTGAAGGGGATGCTGTATGCCGCGATCGAGGCCGGCTCCAGGGGCAGCGGCTGCGCGGACAGTCCACGGCCACCTCCTGGGTAACCTTCACACTTCCTACTCGCGCGGAGACCTGTGGACTGCGTTAGCCCGTGGTGGTCGAGGGGCTACGGTGCCAACCTGACAGCGTTGACATTCGGGCTTCTGCTCGTCGCACTTCACCCGTCGGGCTCTAATCGCCGGTGGTCAGAGACAATGGCTGGGAGGACGGCCAACTCGCCTAACTGGATGCCCGCGTGGAGACACTTACTTGCACGTCACACACCCGGACCTGACCTTTGGTGTGCTCTTGCGAGCCTTCTTATTAGATGCTATGTTCCCGTCGAACATCGTCCCCATGATGCCAAGTTGGAGGAGCGAGAGCCGTCTGATGGAGAATGATTTTACGACATGCTGTGGGTAAGGTATTAACTTGCCCTCCGTGCTGCTGAGGCCAGGCACAAGGGGAATGCCTCGATTGCTGGTACTGTAGCCTCGGATGGGAGGCCTGAGGGTAACTCGTAGGGGGAGGGGGCCCGGTCCGACGTCTGTACAGCCTTGTGACGTTCCTCGATCCCCCCCTGTCCGGCGCACCAATGAGGCGCGGCAATAGCAACTTTAAATATACGAGCATCGACGCCTTGCCATGTCGAGCGCCACGTCTGCTCATCCGAGGTTCGAGGCATTTATATTTTCTGGGTTATAAAGACTCGGAAAACTCCATGCGAGGCCCGAGCTCCAAGCGCCTGCTCTCGTCCCGCCGTCCCCGGCTTGTGGACTCGTATCAGATTGTGCAGATGTCTACATAAAGCCCGTGACGCCCGTCGACGAGCAGAAGTGATGACAAGCTTCGGTAACAGGGCACAAAAGAACACCAAGCCTCCATCACGAGTGCGGACGATATAGAAGCGATCCGGAATGAAATATCTTTTATCGGAGCATTCCAAGCCCATGCCGAGCAGTAGCAAGCAACACGGTGACACCAGTATCTATACACGAAACGACCCTATGGACTCCACCAAAGTTCTGTCAAACTAATACATTGGGAAGGAGTCTGGTCTGAAGATATACCGCGTGCTGCAATCGTATGCCACGAGCGTCGAGGATCTGGGTTCTCCCGTCGGGCGGCGTCAACATAACAAGATGGCGGGCCCGGTGCTCCCCTTATCCGCCGTGCGCTCTGCATGCGCGTCTCGCTCACCATCCGTCGAAACCCGACCCTGGGTTCGTTGTACAGACATCCGGATTGCTGGCATTGTACTCGAGTAAACTTATATGCTGGAGCGTTTGTCAGCACAGTCAGAAAAGGCTTTTATCCCAGCACGATGCCCGAGATGTGGCAGAGCACTCACTAGATTTCGATCGGGCTTATCTGATCGAACGGGAACAGCCAATTACCTCCAGCCTCGACTTTCTCAAGCCTAGCCAAGGGCGTGTGTCAGTGTGGATGCTCTCTGTAGGTCTTCGGCGGATGAGGACTTACCAGTCATAAGGCCACACCACAAGATGTCCCTGGACGCAACCCAACAACTCCTCTGCCTCTTCGATGCTCAGAAGATCGTCGCTCGCGCTGAAGTTCCCTCTACTCGACCTAGTAGTAGCTCTTCTGCGTCTGCGACTACCCCCGCCTGAATTCGCCGTGGTTTGGGTGGCGTTTTGATTCACGCCTTCCGAGTAACCTACAAAAGGCCCGGTTGCAGTCGGAGGCGTGCCATTGATCGTGGATTTTTCCTTTTCCGCCGCCGTTGAGCTGGGGCTGCTGTTCGGAGGATCGGTGCTAACCTCATCATCGTCTCCGGTGGCGCTCCCTTCGTCGGCGATCGTTTGCCCTTCAGGCACAGTCTGCAATCCCGCCCTCTCTGTAGCCAATGTCTCCTGTCGGTGGAGATTAGGTTTGCCCTCCTTTTCGGCCTGTGCCCGATTCGCCTCTGCCGCCCAGATACGCAGCTTCTCCTTTTCGGGATCGGTCTTTTCATCCTTGGATCTCTCGCCGAGGGCATTCTTCAGCTTTCCCTTGATCTCGTTTGTGCGCTTTTCAATATCCGACGGTACATGTGCCACGGCCTTGATCTCGGCCACGGGATACCGAGCTCCCACCCCCGGTGGACCGCTCGAAACTTCACCGCCCCTAGAAGGATCAGTAACCTTCTGCTCTGCAGGCATGTCATTCCCTTGCAGTTGGTTGAAGCGCTGCTCATATGCCAGGTATTGGTGGTAGTCTTCCCAGTTGCGCACTTGATTGTCAGGCATGCAACGGAAGACGCTGCGATAGATCTTGGTGTTGTTTTCTGCCACCGTATGCCATGTGTCGAAAAAGAAGGCATCGTGAACTGGATCAACCATGCAGTCGCGATCGATCAGTGGCCGTCGAAGTTCGTTGATCAGGGGATGGTGAGCACGGACCGAGTCTTTTGAGGTTGCTTTGGCAAGTACGGGACCTCCAATGTCTGAGTCGTCTGATGCCGGTAAGGGAGGCAGCTGGGATATCATAGGCAAGCCCAACTGGTGCGTGCTCATTCGCTCTAAAGTGGGTTTCGGAGGTAGTGGGGGATTGGGCATCTCCATCTTGGCCACGTACGAGGTCAAGCGAGCGTGTTCACCACGTCTCCTCGGCTCCGTCAGCGTAGCTCTGCCCTCAGAATCAAGGTCTGACACTAAGACCTCCTTATTGCCCCGAACAATCGTGGTGTCCCTTCCATTTCCGAGGCCAACAGCTGTAATTGCGGCCATTCTGTCGTGTCCGAATCCCTTCACATCATCTTTGTGGTGAGGATCACCAGTAACTCGCGGATCTTGAGTCACGCCGGCTCGCTTGGATTTGAGATTAGGATTGCCTTCTTGCTCCCAATCCACGTCGTGATTGAAGCTTCTGAATTCTTCGACGCGCTGAAGCACGTCCTCGTGGGACTCGGCTCCTCGTCCATCATCCAACGGTCCCAAGACGTCATCAGCTTCCGATGAAGGACTGTGGAAGGTATCGTCGGGAGACTCTGATCTGAGAGACTTGCCCGACGAATGCGTTTTATGACGATCCGCCTCCATAACTTGTGCCTCTTCCATGATTTTGTCGACGTCAAGTCCAAGGTGCTCACGCATCAAGCGCATGCGCAATGTATGCGGAAATCGGCCCACTTGATAAGGCTTGCCATTCATCCTTGACCAGACCATATCCGTGTCCCGCACGACAGCGGCACATTCGGAATCGCGATTTCCAAGCATCGATCGCTCGTTGATGTTTGCAGAACCGATGATTGCGACTCGGTCGTCGACGACCATGCATTTGGCGTGGATGTAAAGCTGCTCGGTCACCAGCGTCTTGCGAGGGCCAATTCTGCCCCATTGACGAAGGGCGTAGAACTGGATGTAATCCTCCGGATTGATGCCCACAGCTTTCAGCCGACCGAAGATGGAAGACTCGCCACGGCAGATACTGCGATACTGATATTGCATGATAAGTCGCACACTTGTTCCGCCTTCTTCTTCCACAGTATTCTGGAAGCCGGGGATCAACGGTATGACAACAACTGCCTTCCATGCTTCGTCGTTCTTGCTGGCGCGCGTGATACGTTCGACCAGGGCGTCGCCGATCTTGTTGTGTACCACGGTGCTCTCCGTTTCACAGCTGGAGATGAAGAACTGATTCTCGATGTAGACGAAATGCTCCGACTCCTCGATCATCTTGATGTACGCATTCATGATGCTGTGTTCTGTCTTGTCTGGTGTGCCTAGCGACCAAGGCCCGGCAGAGCGACAGATTTGCACCTCACATGTCCCGTCCAGGCCGAGGGCTTCCAAATCAGCCGGATTGAAGTCCGGTGGAGGCAGCAAGAAGGGGGTTGGTCGCGTAGGCTTTCGTTGTCGCAGAATGTAGTTCCAGCGCTGGACGAAGTGCCTGGTCAAGTCGCGAGCCGGTTGTCCGACGACTTGCATGGAAATGTCGTGCCAGGGCATTCTGGCTACCCTCTGACGGTCGTACATTTCTTCATATGGTTTGTTAAGCGCATAGAAGTCTTGGATACGGGGATTAGAGTAATCTTTGCCTGGCCACAATTGACAGTGATCTGCATCTCTGGGTTCCTCACTTGGTTCAAAGCCGGTCGGCTTATCGTCAATGAGCGTATGTTGTGGAGTGTCCCATCTACCGAAGCATAGATCAATGCCGCCCACAAAAGCAACTGTGTGATCGACAATGCATACCTTTTCATGGTGGGCCCAGAAGAACGTGTTCTGCCGGAATTGATTAGGTGACCGTTGCACGAATACGTTGGGATGAAGGTCGAGCAGAGAGAATTTGGTGTACTGGGAGTCGATCGGGATGGCCGCATCGATATTGCGGTAGACGATAACGAAGATCTTCACACCTTCCTCTGCCTTTCTCTTCAGTAATCGATCCAGTCGCCATTTCTGACTGATGGCGGGCGGGCGTCTCATGTACAGTTCGGGACTCAACCACCAGTCGTGAATGTAAATGACATCCTTGGCTTGATTCAGAGCGCGGGAAACCACCCACATGTGGTCTCTGCCATCAACAAGCCATTGAGCAAAACAATTCGGCCTTACTGGAGCGAAGCTGTCGAATCTGTTGACTTTGGCCCAGGGCGAAGCGGCGACCAGCTCTCGTATCGAGTCCTCAAACTGCTGTAGCTGACGCTCGTTGTCAGAGAGGAGCTTCAGCTTTCTCTCAGAGTTGATCAGCTTCAGTCGGTGGTGTTGGGGATGCTTCGCCGACTCCTTTGCGAGGCTGGCCAGCTCCTTTGCACTTCTCTGTTCGGTCGATCGTAACCTTCGCGGCTGTATTTGGAAATCCGAGTCGAACAAGAAGACGTCGTAGATGTGCATCTGTTCGGCCGAGTCGACGCACACGACATAGCTGTGCCTGACCAAGAACCACTTTGGCGAATGCCGTTTCTTGAACTCGCCGGCATTCAGGGCTCTGAAATCCAGGCCCTTGGCGGAGCGGATGAGCAGGAGCCCTTCTTTGCCATGCTCACTCCCTTCCGCGGCAAGACGCATGCCGAGGGCCGAGATTTCTAGGAACCTGCACAGGCGATTGCTTTCAGGACGGAAGAGCAGGAACTGTATCATCTCCCTCAGATATCTTTCGAGGCTCTTGCGCTGTCGTTCAGCGAAGGCTTCTCGGCGCGTACCTGCGGCCGTAGTAGGATCTGGCAGCCCTGCTATACTTGACTTCCTCCTGTTCGGGGTGACGGCTGGTCGAGTTTGACTTTGCGGAGTCGGCCTTTCTGTGTCTGTGGCGGTGCCTGGCTCGGTCTCATAACCTGCGTCAGGCTCGTCGTTCACCTCAGGTTCGTCAGCGAAGAGCCGGAGAGACTTCAGATATGGGAAAACGTCCAAAGGGAAATGCGGGAGCTTCTTGCGCCCATCACTCCTCAACCTGAGTCTCCCAGCGTTATATGCGCCTTTGTACTTGATATGCAGCCTGGAGAAGTCACCTAGAGACCGCTTGATGACCCACTTCATTCGATTGGCGCCGTTGCCATATTCACATTCAATCTTGAAGATCAAATGTCGTAAGACTCTGTCCTCATCGGACTCCTTAAGTGCTTTGTCGTCTCTGATTTTGTTGTGGTCGACTTCACTATCGACAATCTGGACCTTGAGCTGTTCCAAGAGTACGGGCACCCTCCTCTGATTGCGTTCATCGCGCTGAAACATACTTGCGAGCATGAGGGCTGCAGGGGCTCCAGCAGCTAATTCTGCCAACAGAGCAGCCGACCTCACATTCTCCGGAGTGGGCACCTTCTTCTTCCTCTGGCCAAGTGTCCTGATACTATTCTTGAGTTGGCTCCATTTCGCAGCACCCAAGGTCGAACTCCGCTCGGCCAGTAGCTTCCGGCGAGACGGCGTCTTCGGAGTCTGCTCTGCACTACTAGCGCCTTCGCGAGACGAGCCGATGTTGGCAAAACTCAGCAGAGTCAGTGGTCTTCGTTGACTGCCTTCAGGGGTGGTGTCGCCAGTCCTCCGTTGAGAGCCGCCATAACTGAGCCCTCGAAGCGGATGACGTGGTTTCCAGCTGGTGTCCTTGGACAATTGCTTACGCCCCTCGTCTTCAGACACTCCCTGCGGGAAACTGACCATGTCAGTGTCGGTAGCTCTTCTGGTCAGCACACGAGGTCTTTCAGAATCAGAGTTGGTGGGGGCACTCGCGAAGCCTGTCCGTATGGGGCTGTGAGGCGACGATGGCGCTGTCTCAATATCATCGAATCGCTGTAGTTTCCGGCGTCTCCTTCGAGCAGTGGCACGTGAAGTGTAGTTCTCGGCCGCACTGCTCTCGTCCGCGTCAGCGTCTGCTTCAGCACCGCTGTCCTCCTCTAATGTAGCACTGAGTCCAGTCTCATGGCGGCCAGGTACCACAAATTGGCTGTCAAGGTCCTTCCCCTCAGCAGAGCGTGCGCTTGCCGAAAGCCCACTTGGAGACCGTGTATGGCTGAAGGAGTAGCCTTGAGGTATGGCCAGCGCTCGGAGCCTAGCATACAACGAGTGTGGTTTCTCGTGCTCGGAGCCATCATTTGGAGTTGCCTGGGGATTATTTTGGGATCCAATCTCTTCCGTATCACGTGAGAATTGCACGCTCTTTCTGCCCGCTGTGGGCGTCCCAGTCCCATGCAATGCCGTATCCGTACCACCGAGTTCTTTCCCACCGAGCGTGGGTTCGTTCGTCGCACTCCGGACGAGGTTCGATCCGGAACCGTAAGGATTTCTCACTGCGCTGTTGGTCCTCGACGATGTAGAGAAAGCGGTCAGGATGTCTGGCGAGACATCTCGAGGGGACGTAGCGGGCGGAGTTGGGCTAGAGGCGGATGGGTAGGTAGGCCGCTCGTTCGTGGTTACGGCAGGGCCGGGCTCTCCGTTGACAGTGCCATTGCGGTAAGAAGGAGTTGTTTTCATTGCCACGCCGTTCCTCTTGTCGTTTGCCTTCTCGGCCGGCAGTCCTGCCCCAGCCTGGATCCTCCCTATTGCCTCTGCCATAGCCTCCGCAGGCTCGCGAAAGCGCGACCAAGGCAAGACCTAGGAATCGTGATTCCTCTGCCGTTGCCGGCCAGCGGCTGCTGTCAAACCCAGATCAGCATTATCGATATTCGTGTACCGCATCGACCTGGGCTCGGTGTCAAAGAAGGGGCAAGAGCCAAGTGAGCAGTCGTGCCAATATCTCGGGTTTGTATTGGACAAAAGTTGCAAAGAGTTCGGAGAGGAGTCGACGTGGGGCGAGCAGACGCGTTGGACCTGGGTTAATTCTTGTCACGTTTACACACGTGGCATCACGGACGGACGTGGTCAAGTAGGAATCATAGAGAGCTACACCAAGTGACCGATTGACAAGTGACCAGCGACGACCTTCTAAGCAGCGCAGTCCGCCAATGCTAACTATGAGTGGAGAAACGTCAACAGGGCAGCTGGGCGGCGTTGGCAAGCGTTGGCGGGTGTCGCTTACCGCCAAGCCGGGCCTCCCTTTTCATTGATCCACACATCCACCGAAAGTAAATTGCGTGTGAAGCGTATCTAGACGATGGAGCACAAGGCTGCCACCTGCATGAAGCCTCTAGTCGATGGTCAGCGGTATGGAGAACATACTAAGGAAAAGCTCCGTGTGGTTGCATCCAGTCGAGCCAGGGTCTGGCGTGGCATTTATATCTAGTCTTCAAATGTCCCCTGCATAGTGCTGCCACCAGACTCCCATGCAAGCAGCCACGACCAGATCGCACATCTTCAAGCCCTCATCATGGATAATAAGCTTCCCCAGCTTAGCGCTCTGGCCCGTGAAACCCCCTCCAGCCTTCTCTCGGCCCAGATCAAGGCTCATACGACTCTCGTTCTCCGACCGATCAAGCTGAGGAGATTCCTCCCTAGGAGATTTCCAGTCATCGTTATTGTCGCTGATCGACAGCTGCTTCCGGGCCTTGTGTGTCAAAGCTTGAAAGCTTCTCCTCCATTGCTCCCGACTCGAAGCACTTTCTGGACGGGCAACGGGCACGTTGGATGACAGCTCGGACAATTCGCTGCCTTGCCTCTTGTGTGGTTCCCTTAGCCGATTCGTAGCCCACGGCAGATTGAACCGTAGTTCGGCCACATCGGCGGTAACTCCTGCCATTGACGGATCGGCCCCCAGCAACGTCTGTCGACATCGTAGGCTCTTCCCATCCAAGCCATTGCTAAAAGCGCATATTCCGTGCCAGGGTGATATGAATGCGTAGGCCCGACGCGCTTTCCTGTTGTTCGAGAAAGGTGAAGTCGCGACAGACTCGTCGGAGTTGCTTCTCCTTCTAGTCACCAAAGGCGTATCCTGGTTAGGTGTCGACAAGTAGCCGACCTTCCTGCGGAAACCGCTCCCACTTGCTGCATCCAGCTCGGCAAAGTGGGTATATCCTGGAGAAGTCAATTCTATTTCGACTTCGTGCAGAGGCCCTCCTGCGCTGTGCGGGATTATGCTTCCGACGTTCCACTGGCTTCCAGACGCGGGATCCCTTCTAATCAGGGTCACCCGTGGGAAGTCAGCCTGTGGACGGGAAACGACATTCCCTCCGAGATTAGTGGGTGAAGGCTGCGAGGGCAGAGGAATGGGTGCACGGGTCGGCAAGTCTTGCTCAGGCTCGACGTTTTCTGGCACGCCGGCGTGAAGCAAGTGCGGTCCCTGAACGGGCTTTCTAGCCAACCTAAACTGTCTTCGCCCTTGTTCAATGGGGTCGGGAGAAGCAGTGTCCTCGTCACTGATGGTCTGCAGGGGAAGATCGAGGGCTGGTCGTGCTGGGAGTGGTCGGGCGCCCACAGGCCTGCGCGAAGTCGCAGATCCCGGGTTTGGGTCACCAATGTCCAGCCTTAGGTTGGCGCCACGCGCTGCATATCGCTGTGCTTGAGTTGCTGTTCCGGAGCCCGGTAGGGGTGGCTGATAATGCGGGTAACTCTTGGGCGGAGTCGGAGGTCGCTGAGAAGCAGGATAGTTCGCAAAGGGTGTGGAAGGAAGAGGTTTCCTCCGGATCGGCGAGACCCCATTGCTGGATCTTTCTGCCGCTCTCGCGGCTTCGAGAGAGTCTCTCAGCGCGTCATCTTGTGGTCTTTCGACATGAAGGAAGTACAGACTCGACTGGACCGCCTCGATACTTATGGAGGCTTTGGTGGGTGGTTTGAGCGTTGTGAGAAAGACATCTGGCAGATCTCAATGTATGTCCTTCTCTTGTGCGACTCCGACCGTGCTCTCACCTTTGCTGCCGGGCACCCGGACGATGTACAGCACAAGGGGGTCATGGACTTGGTGTGTTGGGTTTCGTGGGTAACGAGGCGGATTCGCAAGGAGGTAACTTAGAGAGGATATAGACTGGGCTTCAACAGGCGCGTTCATCTGTGCCAAAGTGATCAGGAATATCTCAGTCTTGCACAGGCCTGGCAGATGGGGATCGGAGGACAGTCCAGCATTATGTGTGGCGCCTGGGCAACAGGCACAGTACTGGGTACAGTTGAGGCCACTTGTAGTATGAAAGCAACTGAGACCTTGCAGCCTGCGGTTTGTACTGTGTCTCTTGTTTGTGGTGGACTAAAATAGCCGTTTCCAGGGACTCGGATGACGCCAATTTGGGCGGAACAATATCGGGCTTCGCGGCCCCCCAGCAGCAACTGGAACCACCGAGCAGCCACCTATCGGGGTAACTAGGTAGTTTGCAGCCAAGCCCCGAGGGGCGCATTGAGTTGGGTAAGCTCTCAGCCACGAGGCATGGCTTTTCTGACCCCAGACCAGGCAACTGAACACGAGATCAGTAACACCCGCTGTTCTCTACGTAGCTCGGATATTTCCCAAGACCAATAGCTTTTTGGATCTACTTGGCTATAGTCCATGCAACATTTCCAACGGCTTGATTGCGAACTGCAGATGGGAGGCTAACCTGTGCGAGGTATGGTTTGTGGGCACAATTAGAGTGGTCCACGTGCCGTCTCTCTCGCTCGCTCTTCCACTCCCTATGAAGGATTCTGCTCTACGTCTGTCAGAGTCCTGAAGGATGAATACTTGTACCTCTTGGATTATTCCACAGAACCAGGCCATGCCCTCGATGCCCATAGCCATAATTAGCAAGACACCCAAAGAGACCTCAGCAGGCATCATTTGGAAACGGACTGTTGCCTCCTTTTCATTGACCAGTGCCCCTAGTCGACGCAGGACTTGCCCGTGATACCCATTCCCCAATCTGAAGGAGTCGCACTGGGGAAGACTCCCAGTCATCGTGTAGACGGGTGAATAAGAATTGATCCCGTCCAGACTGTGAATCCCCTGCCGCGTGGGTATTGTATTGGACAACCACAATCTCTGCCAGTTTCAGGAGAAACTGCTAGCTTGGTAAGCATAGGTCGACTCATGATAGGTTCTACCCTCTCCCATGCGGCCTCCTCTGCACACAGGCGAGGTTGGCGCCGAGCAACCTGCAGGTCTTCGAAGGTTGGGAAGTTACCTGGATCGTAGGCAGCGTCGGGAAAGGAGCGATATTTCACGGGGTTTCTGATCGGGGTCGAGGGGTCGGTTCTGAGCTTTTGCTTCTCAACGACGCTGTCAGATTCAGGCAGAATAATAACTCGTGTATCTTCTGGTGATAGCAGGTCAATTTCACTTCGCTACACTGAAGCGTCATCGGATAGATCTAGCTTCATCACCCGCAATAAAAAGATCCGACTCTTCATCCCTCATGTGCGCCTTTTCTCACGATCTCCTGTTGTACGGTTCAGGCAGATACCGATACTGCGACCTCGTATAACTTTTATAGGCGACTGTGATGTCCGACTCGTTTACAGTATGAGTCCCACCACAGCATCTTTGCATAGATCCCCTACATCATGCCAGCACCCGCTCTGCAAAACTCGCGAGTGGCATGAACGTCGCTGCTCCGGTGTTGATACTCAGAGAACTTCGCTCGACGCTCTCATGGGACGTTGGCAGCTTCGGTTCAGTAAGGGCCACTTGCCGGCGCACCGCCGATCCTCCACCGAAGTCAGCCGTTCGGGATCCACAGGCCGATGCAAATCAACCAATAATAACCGGTGGTTTCCGGCTTATAACTTTTAGCAGCTCTCGGCCGGCGTCATTTGACCCGGAGGTTTTGCGATCATCCCCACACTTTGTGTCTGATACCACGATCGAGGATCAACCATGCCATGGATGGGAAGGACAAACGCAGCGTCATTCCTGCGATATGGCGCTAGGTGGTCACCCGCCGACAGGAAGAGATAAGGGACTTGGTATTTCTCGCCATTGCCTTAGCAAAAGTGAGTATGAAGTATTCGAAGTTCCCTCGTTGTTCTCGAATGTGTTCCATTTACATAGTACTTCCACGGCTGCCGTGAGCACGTGTGACATCAATATTGCATCAGCTCGGAGGAACTTTGTGATACCACCCATTGGAGCATATACGCCCGCGCAACCTTCGCCGGTTGACTTCCAGCCCTGACGACCCGCCTCGCTTAGTCCCGGCTACACTGATCGTGTCGACAAGATGGCCGCCAGCGATAACTCCAGTCCTACGCGCGACAAGGGCTCCACGTCTGTCCTCGACCCTGAGAAGCTTCACCACGATGAGACCCCGAACGAGGTCGACGTTGTGACCGCTTCTCAGAAGGACGTCGAGTCGCTACCGGCCATTGACCATGCCGCCGAAAGCCGCTTGGTTCGTAAACTTGACCTCTACATCATCCCTCCAACGATGCTTCTGTATCTCGTCTCGTTCCTAGACAGAGTTAACATTGGCAACGCGAGGCTCTATGGACTGGAAGAAGATCTCGGACTCCATAGCTCTCAGTACCAGACAGCTGTCAGCTTGTTGTTCGTCACCTATATCATCTGCGAGACGCCGAGCAATTTGGTCATCAAGAGGTTGAGGCCAAGTCGGTGGATTGCTTTCATCACATTTGCCTGGGGCGTCGTCGCCACTTTGACCGGCGTCGTCCAGAGCTATGGAGGCTTGATCGTCTGTCGTCTGCTTATGGGCGCCCTCGAGGCTGGATTGTTCCCCGGTATGACGATTTACCTCACCATGTTCTATGAGAAGACCGAGATCGCGCTACGCGTCGGCTATCTCTTCGTGTCTGCTGCCTTGGCCGGGAGCGTCGGTGGGCTGTTGGCATACGGTATCGGCTTCATGGACGGCGTCGCAGGTCAGGCAGGCTGGAGATGGATCATGATCATCGAAGGCCTCCCCAGTGTGGTCCTGGGGATCATAGTCTACTTTTGGCTCGCCGATGAACCCGAGACAGCATATTACCTGTCCCAAGAGGAGAGAGATCTCATGGTCGTCCGGAAACGGCGGCAGATTGGACACACGGACTCCAGCGATTTCCTGCATAAGGAAGATGTGATCAAAGCTCTGAAAGATTGGAAGGTCTGGGCATTTGCCTTTGCTCAGTTCGGCGCCGACACGATGCTCTATGGCTATTCCACCTTCCTCCCAACCATCATCAAGGGGCTAGGCCAGTGGTCAACGGCAGAGACTCAGGCGCTCACCGTGCCGTGCTACGCACTGGGAGCTCTCACCTACCTGGTCGTGGCTGCGTCTTCGGACAGATTCCAGCGGCGAGCGCTCGCTGTGATTCCCTTTGCCGCGATCAGTATCATCGGATACGCCATTTTGATTGCCGATGTGAGCCCTGGTGTACATTTCTTTGCCTGTTTCTTGGTCGCGATGGGGTTGTATGTCACCGTCGGCATCCCTCTGGCATGGCTGCCATCAAGTAAGTGCCCCCCTCTCCCTTTGTTATCATCCTGGCTAGTACAGTAGCTCACTCATATTTCCTAGACAACCCGCGATATGGGAAGAGAACGACTGCCAGTGGTATCCAGCTCACAATTGGGAATGCGGCGGGAATCATGGCTCCTTTCGTAAGTACTTTGCAGATATCCCGCTGGCTGGCACATGCGTTGTACTTATCAGACTACCAGCTGTACAAAACCAACGAGGCGCCTCGATATGTCCGCGGCAACGCTGTATCGCTGTCTATGGTTGCGATGGCTGTCCTCATCTATGCTCTCATGGGCGTCTATTTCTCGACCCGGAACAAGAACCGTCGAGCTGGGAAAGAGGATTCCAAGATTGCTGGGAAGACGGAGGAAGAGATCGCCGAAATGGGAGATGAAAACCCGAGATACATGTTTACGTACTGATGGTCCCGAGATCTGGACTGGTCCTATGAGTATGTGGCAAAGTTGGATGGATCTAGCGCTCTTTTGCCGTTGTCAAACTCGGCCGAGATTGACCTGAGATTCGATTTCGCACAGCCGGCGGCCAAGTGCAAAACGAAAAAAGCACTGTCTAAATTACTGACTCTGCGCTACCTCGACTCAATCAGAGCGAGGTTGATCGTAAGGGACTCAAAGCTTGCGAAGCTACGGTATTGACCGCTCATCGTCCACACTGACCTCTAAGGCCCCACCTATCCAAGCAAGAGGTATTGCTTGAGGCTGCGAGCACATTGTCGGTGTTAGATCCATACTAACCTGAGATCCGACATGCTCGCTGTCGAATCCCTGAACTCTCCTGACCGACAACCTGACCATCACTCTCGGCTTTCGGGGTTTGAAGAAGATAGCATCGAGCCCGGATAAACTCCCTCGCTCAGGCATGTTGCGCATCTGCAGTCACCGCGTCTTTTGTCAGATGCCACAATTAGTTCGGGGGTTTCACCCTTGCCACCGCTCAGCCAGCACTCGAAGACAGAAGCCACGTCGATAGGCAGCAAAGAGCATGCTGTCGTTGGAAGCCCGCTTGCGTCAAGCTCCCGCAGAGAAGCCTACAGTCGCGGCTCAGTTCTCTGTGGGCCGTTTGGCCTATTGACGTGTCACGAGATCCGTTGCCTGTGTTATAGTGACCTGGCAGGATTGGTTCGCCTCTGTTGCCTAAGCACAAAGTTAACCGGTCTAAATGTTGCACACAAGACATGATTTGTTGGATACAGGCGCCCAAGTTGTGTTGTGCTTTGCCTTGGTCCTCCCAGCCCTGCCACGCTTACGGTACTCGTACCACTCATCAGAGCTCTGCCTGATATCTGGCAACAACGCAGTGAGCCAACACAGAGGAGGGTCCGCTTCAATATCCCCGGCAAATCACAGCGGCGCAAAGAACGGGGCGCTCGTGTGGTAATCTGAATCCTTCGACAAGTAACTCGTAGATGCCGCTGCCGTGTTTGTCTTGTCTTTGTTATGAAGCCGGGAGTGGGCCCACCGCCCAAGGCTCGACCAACGCTTGCATTCTGAGGCATGTGCCAGACGCGAGCATATCACAGCACCGGACGGGAAGGATGTAGAACGAAGAAAGGCGAGAAGGGAAAGATTGGTCGGGTAGGCACGGACAGGCCAGGTCGAGAAGGACTGGATCTCGATTCGCCGTGATGAAGACTTGAAGTGACCGGAAGGCACCAAGACAAGCCGCGACCCAGCAGATCAGTTGCTCGAGCAGCGAGTTGAATCACGGCGGTGGCGAGGTCTCCCTTTGTCCCTGTGGTGTAAAGGGCACAATCCCTGGTGACTGCGCATTTGGCCTCCCGTGATTCGTGGTCTCTGCGGTGGATTCTCTCGAGGAGTTGGGGCGGTGGCCAGGCATTGGCTGTGAGGCACTGGTCAGGCCGCGCTCGGCTGTTCTATTTGGATCGTAACTTGCCCCTGATTTGACCAACTCAATCCCCCGTGAGGACGGTCGACACGAGGCACACGCTGCAACAGGCAGGATTGCGGGTACCGTTGTTGTGGAGGGCTGAGAAGCTGCAAGCACATCTGCGGGCAGAAGGGGCCGCAGGCTTCGAGCTCGTACTCGTAGGGCAGAGACCACGGTGCACCTAAGTTCGCCTCACCGTACGTAGTACGTAGGCAGCGGGCGGCAACCTCCACAGAAAGTCTCTGGAGGGCGAGAACGACGGCAGGCGGAGAGATCGAGAGACAATAACAGGGAGGTGCCCGGCCAGGTCAATTGATCATTGATCATTGATCAACGAACAGGAAACACACTCATCATCAGATCATCATCCAACCCCGTCACTCGGCAGCAGTGCTCGCCATCTATTCTGTCAGGCAGGATTCTTACTTCATCAGCCATAATTGCTGCTCTCCCATTCTCCCCGTCTCCAGGACTTCCCGCCAGACTCCCTCCTATATCATTCAGCTGGCCGCCTAGATCACACTTTCGGGTCCCGAGCCGCGAAACTCCCGAGGCCCTCGCCACCGCCGTCGCTCCAGGCCGTTGACAGCTTCCAATCTCAGCATCGCCCTCGCTTCGACTTTCACCGTCGGTCGACACCCCAAGAGGGGTACAAGTCGTGGGTGTACAGTGTACGAGTCCAGCGTACAGTGAACAGTGCCTGCCCTCCTTTCACCCCCTGCTTCTAAGCCCAAACAAGCAGTGGGAGAATCGCTGGGGGGGTGAGCAGCACACAGCAGATCAGTCAGCAAAGGAGCCGCTGCGCCGAGAGCCCAGGGCCCTTGGGGCGCTCGGCTGCTTGGCTAAGCCTCCAGACCTCGCATGCTTTGGTGCAGGGATCTCGCCTAAATTTGCCCTCGCTCCCTCGCACCATCTGCCTGAAGCTCGCACTGGAGACCTGGAGACCTGGAGCCCGCCCCGATCCAGACGCCTCGTCGCAAGCTTGCCGGATTCCAAACACCAAACAACTTTCTTCTTCACCCCCCCGGCCCGTTTCGTCCGCTAAAACCAAAGCTACCTGGTATCCTCGAAACTCGTCCCGTCCCCCCAAGGGCAAAACGACGCGTCTCCGTTCCCACTTGATCCAAACATCAGCACCTTTCCCCATCAATCTTAATCTACATTCCTCACTTCACAGTGTCACTGCCTCCCACCGACTCGCAGACTCGACCTGCATTCGCTTTACTCGTACGACGCGACACGATGTCGCCGGTCGTCTATCCTTACCTTGTCACCAACAGCTACAAAGGGTATGTTCTCCCCGTTCCGGTGGCGTGACACCCTTGCATTGGGTAGTGTGCTAACGACGTCGGGTGCCAGGGGACTCTTCATGCGAACTTACAGCCGCAACGTGCGGCGCGCCTGGGATGGCGAAGACTATCGTCCACCAAAACGCCTTCGCCTCAATGATACGTGGAACGCGACGTCGTCCTCAGCGCCGACGATCAACGAAAACTCGCTGCACCCCCTCGACCTCGAAGACAGTCTTGAACGCGCCATTCGGGAGACGAGTGTCGCCGCACTCTCGTCCTCACCCTCACGCAAGAATAGCACCATCTTCTCAGCCGCGGAGTCACAGGCCGATGAGCTAGGTTCCAGCACCATCACCCCACCGTCCTCGCCACCCCCCGAGTTGCAGCTCACGCCACCCAACGTCAAGGTGCGAAAGCCTACATTCTCATGCCTCAATAAGGCGAGCAAGGATAAGAAGGACGCCAAACCTGCAAAGCGGAAACGCGATGAACAATCGAGGGGCCTCAGTGCGCCTGTAAGCACGCGTCTCGATTCAGAACCTCTCTCCGAGATCTTCAATTCCAGTCTACGCGCGCAGAGCTCGCAACCCCCGACCAATCCCGATCCGCCACAGCAAGATGTGGAAAGGACAGCAATAGCACGGCCAACGATCCAGATTCCAAGACCTGCGCCACCTCCCAAGCAGAAGCTGGTACAGACGGTGCTCGATTTGGGTCAACCTCTCCTCCCTGCAACGTGCCCTCAATGTCAGATGTCTTACATGCCTTCGGTGCCGGAGGACGCCCAATTACACAATATGTATCACAATCGAGACAGTTCGGGAATTGAGCTCGGCAAACCATTCCTCAAGTCGGCAATGCGTTGGTGTTACCAAGTGCCGCAGATTCCTGGCAGTGTTATCGTGGTGGATCGCAAAATGGCCCTCCCTACGCGACGCGTGGTTCAAAAGGTGCTTGGCATTGTCAACAAGGAGCTCGGTAGCGTGGACATCAAAGAGGAGGAATTGTGGAGCCAGCGTGTTCCAGAGGGCGAGAAGGATGAAGAATTTGGCGGCAAAAAATGCGACAGATACAAGGCCTTCTTACACATACTAGACGAAAAGTGCGTCGGAATCTGTCTCGCCGAGCGCATCACCAAGGCGCACAGAGTTCTCCCCAGCGAGACGGCCACGAGCGAGACTCTCCCTCTCAACGGCCACTTCGGATGCAAAAGACCTGCATCGCCGACACCGACAGAGACGCACGAGGAGGACCAGCGCTCCATCTCGCACAAACCGCAAATCCCCACCCCGGTCGCCAGTCCGACTGCTTCTTCACCTCCATCGAGCATCTGCATTTCCGAAGAGACGTACCCCGCAGTGGTAGGAGTGAGTCGGATCTGGACGAGCAAGGCTTTCCGGCACAAAGGAATCGCCAATAATCTTCTCGAATGTGTTATGAATCAATTTATTTACGGATTGGAGCTCGAACCACTGCAGCTGGCGTTCAGTCAGCCCACGGAAAGCGGTGCCGCGTTGGCGAGAGCGTGGTTTGGTGAGAAAGATGGCTGGGCCGTTTACAGAGAAGATTGAGTTCGAATCTTGTGTTTACTATGATGGGTTGACGGGGGAGGCGTTGCTCTTGTGCATGGCCACGGCGTGGTGAAAAGCGAGGGTATACGGATTTGGGTATCAGATCTGCTTTAGATGGGTTGGTATATGACGATGGCAGAAGATCCGGGATAGGGTGGGTTCCAAGGGTGTATATCAGGGCATCAGAGTTGTGCGACACAGAAACAGACCTTCTTTCGATAGAGCCGTTGTGCGGACGAGAGCACACTTAGGAGATGAGGATGAGATGTGTGAAGTCAAGCCAAATTGCGCCCTACGTGGCAGAGATGCTTCTTCCCATTCCCCGCGACTTGCGCATTTTGATGCGATTTCTCGCGTGCTCGCTCCCGCCGAAGCAGTGTTCGTGTAAGAGAGGGTCGCAGCTTCCATCAGAATCGTCCCTAATGGGATGCTCCTGCCCAAGAAACAACCCAGCGCGACTATTGGCTCGGCTCCGCTTCAGACTTTACCGCCATTTCAATCCACCTCACTTCTCGATGAATCGACCATCACTTCTCTCTCTATGGCACAAACCTCATTGCTCGATTTGTCCTCAAACTTGATCTCTGCCCTTTGGTCAACGTCGAGAGCGACGCCCGATCAGTACGAGAGATACGGGATTAGCCTGGTGCAGCCATGGCTCTGCATGGATCTTTGGGCTCTGCTGCCCAGTCATGCACGGGTGGTCACTGCGAGTTACTCAGCCTCACTGATTGCATGAATGGGTGGAGATACTGCTCTCCAGACCAGACTCCGCGAACCCGACTTATATTTATATGCATCGCGGCGATGGTACTGTTCTCTTTGCCGACCTGTCCAGCCGCATCTGAGTAACCTACGAGGACTTTCATGATGGAAGAGTCGGAGACGATTCAAGTCATACCCAACGAGTACCAACACTACAAGCCCTTGGATAGATCAAAAAGGCAAGTCCGGCTCTTGCGTATCGAGCCTTCAGAATCCCCCAAGGATCCTCTGGTCTGCCATCTTTACTGGGCCGACCTGGACAATGCCCCCGCGTATACGGCTCTGTCGTATGTTTGGGGACCTCTCGACGACACCTTGGAGATCTCGATTGTGTTTCATGAGGGTGCTTCCGCAAGGTCGGCTTGCGCCATGCAGCTGAACGAGAACCCGCATGGCCGAGTTGAGCCGGTTGGTGTGGACGATGAAGCGAAAGCTGAAGTTGTGTCTTTTCGAATCACTCGAAATCTCCATGGCGGCCTACGCAGTCTGCGCATGCACGAAGAGGCGCACTCTCTCATTTGGGCTGATATGCTGTGCCTGAATCAGTCAGATATGGCAGAAAGGTCTCACCAGGCAAGTGATTACGCCCGTGCATTGATTGGCAGTCACTGATATATCTTTCCGATAGGTTGGATTCATGAAGGAGATTTTCTCAGCCGCGACTAAGGTTGTTGTCTGGCTTGGAGGCGACCCGGAGATCCCCTCCGATATCCTTCCCGAACATGATCGTTCGTTAGACGTACTTGCCGATATGCTCGGAGGACTTGGGTCAAGCTCTCTGCCCGTTCCAGATATGTTTGATCTGGAAGCAATAGAGCATGCAATCATATTGCGGGAACGGGGTGATTATGACCTTGAGAGTATCATGGCCCGTGCGAGGGACACCTGGCCACGAGACGGGAGATTTCGGCAGTGTCCTAGCTCGACATATGCTGTGGACATCTACATCTTGATCCTATGCACGGAAACCATCGGCCTCAGAACCATGGAACTCAGTTTTTTGGGCTGCCTGCTGGATCCAACATTATATGTTTGGCAGTTCTACCGATACCGTATCATCGAAGCCGCGATATTCTTAGGCAAACGCCGTGTGGTAGAGGCTCTTTCGCCGGAGGAAGGAGTTGCTGATTCGGAAGAAATTTCATTTCCCGGACACGTACACCAGCTGTTGTCGATACCTTGGTTCGAGCGCGTCTGGGTGGTGCAAGAGGTGGCGGGAAATGAGAATGTATCTGTTCGACACGGCAAAAGTATGCTGGCCTGGGAAATAATCGCCCTCTGTTGTGCGAGTTTCGTCGTGATCTATCCAAGCCTTGCCCCCGCTGACAGGCAGCGTTTAGGACTAGAGGACTTCGGATTCGCACCATCGCTACGACTGGCAAGATTTTGGAGCATGGTCTCAAGCCGCAGACTGCCGATCAGCGCACTACTCCTCGCTTCAAGTTCCCTCAGAGCTACAGTACCACGGGATAAAATCTACGCCATCTATCGTCTGGCAGCTGACCTTCCCGATATGTCGTTCAAGCCCGATTATATCCGGCCTCTCCAAGATACATATATGGACTTCACTCATGGAATTATTGCGGCCACTCGACGTCTCGACATAATCTCCATACCCTCCCTGGCTGGGACTCAGGCAATCTGCTCGTGGATCCCTCAATACCACAGGCTTCCATATTCTGCTTTTTCGTCGTTATTGCCACCAATCCGTCGTTTTGACAGTGCCTACCGCACAAGTGGCGACCGACCAACATATTACATTAAACCGGCACGGACCAGGTCAATTACCCTACAAGGGGTACATCTGGCTACTGTGATGTGCTGCTTTGCCCCCAGGGGCCCGCGGTCACCGTGCGATATCTGGAATACTTTGGCTTCTGTCCATCACAGCGTTTTCGGCCCAAGGAGGACTACGGACGATGTTCAATGGGACGACCACCTCTTCTCCGTGGAAGCGTTCACAGCCGCCGCGCTATCGTTTATCGAGCTTTTGGCCCTTACAAATCTGGACGAGCGACGAAAAGTGCTGTCTGACCTTTTCCTTTCGGTTATGAAGCTACATGACTCCACCGGAATGCGGTTGTCACACCTGAGCGTGGAAGACATTTGGGCGCTTCGAAGATGTGACACTTCATTATGGAAGCATTCAGTGACTCAATCGTTTGACGAAAAGGTCAATCAACTTTCAGCCTTCGTATCTTTCTTCACTTTTGATGGTACCTTCGGGGGCTGTTTTCAAGCAGTACAGGAGGGGGACTTGGTCGTCGCTTTGGATGGTGGATCGCGACCCTTCGTTCTGCGGCGACGTTTTTCACCATCCCACGACAGAAGGTGCGCTGAAGCTGTGAAGGGTGGAATGGAATTTCAGCTCATTGGGACATGCTACCTCCACGGTGCAATGGACGGCAAGATTTTCGACAGTCCACGGTGGCGTGAGTCCGATCCACTATACGTGGATCCGATGGACTATGATCCAGATCTCAGGACACCGGGAGGAACGGGCTATACGAAGGGCTTCTATCGCAAAAGGCCCTTTGTGATAACATAGCACACGGGCCAGCTCTGGTACTTTTGGGACATAGCCATCGTCGGGGTGACTGTTGCGTTGTTATATCAGTTCCCCATTCTGAAGTCGAGAAAACAGGCCTAGGATCGACAAGTTCATAGTCATTGCTGCTCATGTGCTCTGCTACAGATGCTTCAACGTGTGTCTAGAATAGTGGCAACGGCGCATTTTCGTTTGTGAAGACTCGGCGAAATAAGTACCACACCAGCCGTTTCTCGATATGAATAGTTGACCTTTGGTCCAGCATGAACTGCTCACCACTCGCCCCATGGTCGTGTCGACGAACCCACGTGCAAGACAATGTGGGTGTATTATGTTGGGTATTACAGTATGCCATGCATTATATCAGCACTACATAGTGCTCTGCGGGTGACGACGACTGTATCGGATCAATACATTGTAACAGTGTGTGGTATCATAATCTGTCTCACAAATAACCCTAACCCTATATCTCACCAAGTCCACCGCTCTGCTCTTGAGCTTCGAAAGGGCAACAAGGGAAAGTCAACCCAACTAAACAGACACCTTCCCATGCATGGCACGTCAAATGAATGATACATGCACTACTCAACGCACTGCACCCCGTTGGCCACCTGGTAACTATCCCGACGTACGAGTCTCTGTTGTTCGCGCAGTGCGCAGTGCGCAGGTGCACATGCAAGCCAGGCTTGCGAAAAGCACGCTAACCCCGGTTTCAGAGATGATAGGCGTCTATTGGCTGCCTACCTTGTGCCAGAGGTTCCTCGGGGAAGCTAAACCCGCCATGGACGGGTATCCTAGAGTAGTCTAGCTTTACTCCACCCTCTAGCCAATAGAAGTGCAGGCTTTTCTAGATGTGAAGTTAGCGTGAATTACCTCCGTACAAGAGGGAGGTATTCACTATTTGAACTTGATGTGTATGGTGTACGGAGCATCGAGCAAGGAATGGTAGTAATCAGATCTCTGACCTCCTGGCTGTGACGTGTGTGTGTGTGTGTATCATGGTCCTGACTGTCTAGAGACATAAATACCTATGTGCCTGCGCAAAAGGCACCTGGACGGAGTGAACTCTGCAGCGTCTTTGCTGAGGAGTGACGTGGCTGCCGCAATGCAGAATGCCGGGCTTCAAAGAATGTTCCATGTACCATGAAGGCGTCTATATGGAGGGCAAGGCCAAGTGCAAAATCGAAATACATAGTAATTACTCGATGATCATCACCACATACACATACCTACGTACTTACCGTACGCCGTCCTACATTCAGTCCGCAATCGTCCACGACACAGTCCTTGAGTACTTTAAGTAGCCTTGACAAAACACAGCATCACTCTTGGTCTCCATCACATCTGTCGGGTGACTCTGTACTGTATAATATATACATGGTACCCGTCTCTGGCATCCATGCCAACCGTCTTCTCGTTGGAGAACCATCTTGAGACCCTCTATCGGAGCGGAGGAAGTCTTTCAACCTGAACTTCAAGTTGACGATCCTACCTCGCGTGGCTCGCGCAATAAGTAATCTCATCATCGCCGTATAGATACCTAGTACTTACAATCACCTTAGAAGTAGGAAGTGAGTGATTCCGCCGATGCGCCGGGTTCGGGGACGGACCCTTGGATCACATTCCTGCTGCCTCTTCCTACGTTCTCGCATGTATCGCAAGTGTGTACGATCTGTGGTGCATGTACGAACTGCAGTACATGATTTAGTCAGTACTGCGTAGTACGTACTGTGTAGTTGGTGGTTGGTGGTTGATAGTTGGTAGTTATCACACTTCTGTACTTAGCACTTCCAGTGCATTGTTCAACACGGTGTTATTGAGTACCAGGTAGGAAGGGAGTACTAGGCACGGAGTATATCACGGTACGCCGCAGTAATCTCCTCCCCGCTGGGATGGAGGGACACTGTAATCACACTGGTAGTTACATAGTATCTCCAGGTCTTTGACCGCGAGCAGAAGGCGTTGCAGGTACATTGTCATGCTATGGCAGATCATTAAACAGGCCGTGGTCTTCTGTACTATGTAGGATGCCCTCCACAAGGGCGAAGAGGCACACGGCCTCTCCTCCTTCCGTAGGGCGGTCGAAAGGCATGTCCGTCCGTGCATCAAGAAAATCACTGTACACTGGACATGCAGTAGTACTGTACAGACATACCTAGTGCATACTTCATGCCTGGCCGCCTGAAATCAGTGACTGCCAGTGGATCAGGCCGATGCGTGCACTTGGATTCACGGGCAAGAAAAGGTAATCTGCGTGAGCAACCCAACGGCGGTAACAGGCCATGTAGAGACGCGGCGGAGTTAGGTTCCCGCAAGGCAGGCTGACGGTCAATCGGCTCGACGGCGGTCTATTCACACAATGCCAATAAAGGTACAGTATCGGTCGACATAAGCACGAGTCGCGATGCTCTGGACAAACGACAAAATACCACACAAGGCTGATGGAAAGGCACATTATAGGTTCGATCCGGCTGTACCGATCACATCAAATGCAGCTAATAAAGTCAATGCTGAAGCTCTCCCAGTCAGGCGTGCAGCGTAACGATATAGACAGATCAAGAGAAACCAAAATACATGCCATGATCCCCGGGCCCTGAACAATCATCGAAACGAGGCCGGGGAAGACATGCCGTATTTATCTCGACTTCTGAAGCGGGAGAATGAAGTCCGTTGGAGAGCAGCGAGGCGGTAACTGCAGTGATCTCTACCAATTCCCTGCACCGAGCTCATCACACCTGAGTGTTTGTCACACGTCCCTTTGTCTGTGTCTGTTTGCATTTGTGGACCTGTATCAAAACCCACCCCCATCAATGCTCCAGGTCGGATACAATTAGATGTGTGGGAAATTGGTAGCAGTGTAGCGGTCACTTGGATCTCCTGTAATACCACCGAACGTCCGCTTGCACGGCCTTCACAAGTGCAATTTCGGATGCAAGACCAGCTAATTCCTCACCTTGTTGAATTCCGCCTCGCAGATGGGAACATGACGCATTGTGGAGGAAAGGAAACGCGAGGGAAACACGCTCTGGTGCCGACAGCTCGATTGGGCACCACCAAGACACGCTGCATGCTGTCGTCCGTGATTAAATGCTTCTCGCTCTAGCAAATAAAGCACGGTGCTGTAGGTTACTTGTTTTGTACATTTCACGCCGTGCTGACCGCCACATCATGAAAGCTCCGCCCCCAACAAGAGATCATGCCAACAGCATCTTTCGCGGGTCTTCGATGTATTCCTGGATGTCCTGTCAGACGCAGAACGAACACGAAGCTCACTTGTAACATACCTTGATCTTTACCAGGAAAGTGACCGCTTCTCTGCCGTCCAGCAAACGATGATCGTAAGTCAGTGCAAGGTACATCATCTGTACTGCGTCAGTCTTTGCCGTCGATCACATCTGGATCGACTTACGGGTCTGATTTCGATCTTGCCGTTGACAACCACTGCTCTGTCCTTGATTGCATGCAGACCGAGCACAGCTGTCTGAGGTAAGTTGATGATCGGAGTTCCCATCATGGAGCCGAAGACGCCTCCGTTGCTGATGGTGAATGTGCCGCCCGCCATATCTTCAATGGTAAGCTTGCCATCACGGGCCTGGACAACAGGTCAGCGACCGATCGATTGGCAGAAACAACGTACTTACCTTCTTCCCTAAATCGGCAATAGCTTCTTCGATGCCGATCATCTCCAAACTCTCAGCATTTCGGACGACCGGCGTGACCAGGCCCTTGGGCGTGGCCACTGCAACGCTAATATCCACAAAGTCTCGGTAGACAATGGTATCACCACCGCCGGGTCCTTCGATGGAGGCGTTGACGGTGGGTACGTCCTTCATGGCCAGAATACTGGCTTTGGCAAAAGCACTCATGAAGCCGAGTTTGACACCGGTGTTCTTCAGGACTTCATCCTTGTACTTCTTGCGGAATTCCATGATGTTGGACATGTCCACCTCGTTGAATGTTGTCAAAGAGGCGGCGGTATTCTGTGACTGCTTCAGGCGCTCGGCGATCCGCAGACGCATGCGGTTCATTTTGACCTGATATGAATTAGCCTTTTCGCGGATGGAAAC